AGTATAATTCTGCTCGTCAAAGATTGTCGATGCAAAAATTTCTGCCGCCAGACCAAACTCTTGTTCAATGGGGCTTTCAAACTCCGGAGGAGTTGGCGCGCCACTTGACCCGTTGCTGTCTTCCTCGGTCGACGGGCTGGCGGCCATCTCGCTAGAAATCATAGACACCGGCCGCGTCGCAAGTTCCCGAGACCCTATCGACCCATACCGGCTATGCCGCCGAACAGCCAGGTCTCCAGAAACCGCCTGTTGCGGGTCCTGAGAGCTACGAATACTACCCTTCGCTCGTTGGCTCTGGAGGTCCTTGAGGGGCAATCCCCCAAAGGCTGTGGAGAAGGCCACTTCCGTGATACTGTTTCTGTGGTACTCCTGAGAAGAGCTCTCATCTGGCTCAGCTGTATTTTCGTGATCAAATAGGACCTGATTTCGCCGAAGAATTCGTGCCAAGTCTGATCCCGCCGTGTCCCATTCATCCTTCAGCCGCTGCACTAGTGGCTTGCTACTCCCATTCGCAGTTTTATCTGACTTGAATCTGGAAATGACTGATGGCCGACGGACCGGTGCACCAATTACAGCAGTGTCTACTGACTTGGAGGTTGCCCTATTGAGCTCTTCTGCAGAAAATGCGGAAAAGTATCGGATAGTCGTGTTTTGGTCCAGGGAGGAGACGAGGTGTCGATAGTTGGAAAGATTAAAATCGTTCCCTTCGCAGTCAAGGGTGTGGAGAGTCTTATTCTCGGAGATGGCCTCTGCCAAATCCCCAATGTTGATGTTGAGCATCTGGCTGCGGACCCGAAGATGCTCGATGCTCTCATTTGTCCGTAAGCTAATGAGTGCCTTGGAAAATTCTCGCCCAAGCCTACCCTCGTCCAGTCTTGCATCGAAGCCAGAAATATCCAAGAAGCGAACTGTGCAATTTTTGGCAAAGAAATCTGCGATTGCTTGACACGCCGCACTACTAGCAGCGTCTGGCGTCGATGTTCCGGCGAGGCTGAGACACTCGATCGACGTGTTGACCGTCAGGGCTTTGAGAAGCTTGATGTAATTGGCTTCCATGGCAAATTCGACCATTTGGACAAAGAGACACCAAGGGCCATACCCTTCGGCAATGGCCATGCACAGGTCATCCACTCCTTCATCCAGACGGCTGCCATTGATGTAAAGCTCTACTGGCCTCGCTCGACCCATGGCGTAAAAGAGCCGTGCAAGCTGCACACCAGTCAGTCCGCAGTTGTTGAGGCGCATCGTATGGACGCTCTCCGAATTAGCAGTCTGTAAATAATTCGACAGGGCATCCACCGTAGCGTCGTTTAGCTGCAGTTTTTGCATTAGTAAACAAACCTTGATTAACAAGAACACTGTTTGTTTGAACTTACCATGATCCCGGAGAGGTCTAGCTCCTGGAGTTGCCAAGTTTGCATTGTCAACTCGTCGAATAAAGACTCTTCTGATAAGATACGGGTGTTTCCAGCAATTTCCAGCTTGGAAAGCCTCCTCAATCCGCTCAGAGTGCTTTGGATAATTTCAAAACGTACAACTCCTTGGTTGTTCGATGTGTTTATCCACTCTAGAGAATCTGCTTGGCCAGCAAGGCTAACCCATAATTTCGACAGTCCAGCATCACCTAGCGAACACTCGGACAGGTCGATCCTGCGGAGATGAACCTGGTCCAGAGTCAAAAGATCGGCTTTTCGAACCATGTTAGCAGCCATTTTTCATCTCACACAAGAGGCAAAGAAGATTTTACCTAATTCATCCAAGTCATCCAGAGCAATGGGGTTTCCGGACAACGAAATGCTGTGACAAATGCAAAGCTGTCGTCGCCACAACTCCAAAAACGGTCGCAAGATCTCCGATGTCGTCTTGCTGAGACTTGTCAAATCATATTGGTATCGACTCAGTCTGTTTGCCTTGTCCCCCAGGCCCAACACATTGGACATATCAAGACTTCGAATGGATTCTGATGCGAAGAGTAGGGCATGGATCTCCTGCTCCAGAATCGGCGACTGGAGAAGAATTTCGTGGTGCTCTTCAGATATCGTCACACCTAGGTTACGGTCAGAAGAGCCAAATAAAGTTGAACGCTTGGGCCACGGTCAACTACATACCGTTCAGGGATTTGTAGGCAAGAGAATCCCCGTACTTTGACTTGTCGTTCTTGCCGACGAGGGACGAGAGATCCACGCCGCGAAAAGAGATGGCTTTGAAGAAGCTATTATATCGCAAAGCCCGGAAGACTGCGAGAAGCTGCATCGGGGAATACGCCCGGCCATTGGAAGGCAACAATCGAAAAGCAGGTTGGGGCGGAGGGCTCCAGTCAATGGTCCAATTTGGTACTTGAACTTGATACGCAGCACAATATGCTTCCAGACTTCGCTTTAATCCGCCAAGATCATTCCCAGATGTCAGCTGGAGAGGGGGCGGAAGGCCTCTGATATCAAATATGACCTGCTGGAAATGCTGTGGCCACATGGGCTTCAGAATTCGATCTGCTTTCGTCAATGTTTCGATAATACGCCGATATTGGGAACTGGCGAGATCAATTCTCGTCTCGCGACCAAACGGAGATCTAAATTGCTTAGTACACATCTACTATGACACGGTCATCGCCTGTTTCTGCACTTACCTGAAACACATGACAAATCGATGCTCGTGTGATACCACAGAGGCTTTGAAGCGAGTCAAGGTGACAGTGCCGTAGGAAATGGCTTTTACACGCAAGTCGCCAGGAGGGGTGGCATGGTCAGCCTTGAGGACCTCCACGAAATGACACATACATGGTCCTATGATAAGGAAGAAAGACGATATATCTGAATTGTCAGGTGCCTCCTCCGTTGCGCTACCCTTCATACCCCCTCCAAAAACCCGTCTTGCAACCGGGAAGATGATGCTCTGGTACCCAGCGTCGGCGGACCCCTCAGCAGCTCGGACAATATGATCAATACGACTCCTCAAGTTATCCGATATCAATGCACTGCTAGATGATTTTCTTAGCTTTGCCCTAATTGCGCGATGAATTGAAGCCAGCCAAAGATCTCGCTCCTTGGGTAAGGAAAAATAGAAGTGTGCCTTGGAGTATGCCAGCTTTGGCCACGGCGAAAACCACCAGATTTCGATACCGGATCGATTGCCGGCGCTGTCGTCATTAAAGGCCGCAACGACGGAGCGGAGTGAAATTTCCAGGCGCACGTCGCCAGAAGAAAGTTTGCTGGTGGTGTGGTGACATTGCGATGTATTGTGGCCGTCTGCGGATGTTCCAAAGAGTTGTGGGAAAGCAGTGCGGGCAGAGTCCCCGTTGTTGAACTTGACTAATACCTGATCCGATAGGACCAAATATTCAGATTTTGCCTTGAGAAGCGAGACATCCGTCTTGAGTGATCCGCACTGAAGCACTTCCATTGCCGAGTACGGTTGTAGTTGCTCAGTTGGGCTTCCTGGGCGATCGGTTATAGGGGAGTCCTTGGATACCCGTTTCTGAAGGCGATCGATCATGGAAGAAGAACCCGAAGAGGGCGTCTTCTGTAGCTTGCGGATGGAATTGCTTCTAGTAGAGGTCGCGGTTATAGAGTCCATGCTCGAACTACTCAACGACCGAAGGGCGCGGGTAAGAACCCGAGGGGCCTTACTCTCGGTCGACTGAGACTGCGGCTTGGCATCGTAATGGTTTGTCGCTGGCAGGTTCAAGGAAAGCACAGAGGCCGACCTGCGTTTCCATCGTTCGACGTTCATGGCTGCGATTAAATTCGGTTGCTAGAAATCAAAGTCTAGGCGTTTCGTGCTTTTAATCCCACTGCTGCCAGATCGATGGACACATCGAAAGCAGGTCTTAAAAGACCATGGCGAGGAGAAAAGATGTAGCGACAAGACAATTTTTGCGAGATCAAACTGAGTGCAATGGCAATGAAGCTGAAGCCCGCGGTATCGACTCGGCTCCGGGGAAGCAATGAATGATAATCTTCACTGATGCTGAATGACGTGAGGTGGGTAGCCGACGGAGCCGATGTCTCAGCCACAGGCTCTGTCTTGGAATTCGAACAAGCTGCCAACGGCACGATCGTCAGAAGAGTCGTGAGAAGAGTCCAGCTCTAGCGCAAGTGCACCCGCATCCGTCACTCCGGAAACAATAGCCCAGCACGGAGGCCGCAACTAGAATATCTTGACCCGTTGCGCGTTATCACAATGGCAAGGGCGGTGGCAAATTGTCAACTCGGTAATAGTGCCTGTCCTTGAGAATTGATCCTTGTCGATCTCTGGTGCGCAGGCAGTCGAGGACAAGAGACGGAAGAGTGAAGGCGATGATGGTCTTTACAGTTCGATCAAGCAAAAAAAAAAAAAAAAAGCCAAGCACAAGGCCCCCTTGGCCTAAATGGACGCTCTGGATGGAAATGCAGGGAAAGAGCCAGGATAAGAACTTCCTGAAGCAAAGCAGCAATCAAGAAGAAGACAAAAGAACATCGGCTAGAGATGACAGGCTGGAGAAACACGAAATTCAGGAACTGTCAGGGTTACGGGCACCAATTTGAGGCGACGCAGTCCCAGCTAGCCAGGGTTGTCAAGGCCCGATCGCGGGATGAGCCCAGGACCAAGCCTTCCGATAATTGAGAGAGGAAATAGAATATGGCGTACGCATTCATCCAGGGAGGGGGAGATGGGCACGTGGAAGTGAGAAAAGAGGCCGCGAAAAGAGAGGTAGGTGTCTTAAAGTCTCAAGTGCTCCTATCCAGATTCCTGCCTCAGAAACGACGCCAACCGAGATGGCAGACTGGCCAATGCTGGGCGGGTGAAGGGCTTCCAGAATAGAAGGAGGAGGGCGAAAGGAGCTTGGTTATATGGCCAAGTTGATCCTAAAACGGACACAGGCCGTGTTGAGGCTCAATCGCTCGTTTCTTGTTTCTTTGCACCGCTGGTGCTTGTTGTTGAGAAAACGAAAGAGGACGGACAAAGGGTCTGTCTGGTGTGCAGTCCAGGTCGACACCACCGTCAGAAACTCGAGAACAAAAATGGGGGGTGTCGTCAGACGTCAAGCAGCATGCGTCACAGGACAGGACGGCATGGCATGGCAAAGGGGAGAATACGATATTTTTGGACCAGGTCAAGGGCCAGTCTTGTTTGGAGCCGGCTCTGGGGTTCATTCAAGCCTTGGGGTTCCAGGAGTCTGGAGTCTTTTGAGGCCCAGCCAGATGGAACATTGACACCAACAGCTACAACAAGCTGACAGCTGGCGTCCTTGCCCAGCCTCACCCGAGTCTCGTCGACAAACACTAATAATTGCTAGCGATTATATGGGCATGTATTACACGGAGTCGACCAAGCGTCACGTCATGGACAAGGGTGTTGCAGTGGCTTCTGCGATGGAGATTGAGGATGGGATGGGACGGTGCGCAAGGTCAGGATTGAAAGAAAAGTGGGCGCGGCCAAGCCAAGCAGCTCGACAACAGCAGCTCGACAGGGATCGTGATGCCCATGACCCATTTGCCATCGACGAGCAGGCAGCATGTCCGCAGCGACTTGGCGACTACGGAGTACTGGGCCATCTTTTTCCGGCGTCTTCTCACGGAAGCTAAACAAAACATGGGCCCTTGACCTTGTGTGGACCCGGCGAGCGTCATTAGCGGGCCGCGACCAAACCCGAAGCCTCCATGGCCCTCGAGTCTCCCTCAAGTGCTCTCTTTCTCTCTCAAACCTGCCTCGAGTTGTGCTTAGCCTTGCATGGCAGCGCCGGACCAATCATGATGCCCATCCCGACCAGGCGCCGTGGATGGGAATGCCATACGCAGAGATGGCTTGTTGAAGCCCATGCCCTGCCCACCAAGGTGCATACAGACTGTGGATAAAGAAGAGAACCATGATACTACTCTGTACGGAGTAAATCAAGTTGTATTTCTGTCCGTCAAGTCCAATTGCCTCACTGACCGCTCTGTATACAATAGATTCCAGGAGACCGTCAAACCGTCCGGCCGCGCCTTGCCTGGAACAAGTCCGTGACCAGCACAGGACCATTGCTGTTACGAGACAAAGGGACAAACCCTAATCTGAGCCTCTCGCCACAATCGACCAGGTGCGAAGGTTTTACCCCCAGAGCTCGGAAACACCACACGTGTGTATCAGCTCAATTGTTCTGTACAAAGGACGCCCCGTGCAGTATGCTTTTCAAGACAACACAATACATGCATGGCTTCTTAACTTAGTACGCGAGTCGTGACGCACCTGCCAGTGAGGCTTGGCCATGGCCGTGCCGACTATCCAGGAACCATACATGCCGAGCAGTACTCCTGGGCAGGGGACCGCCAGGTTAGAGGTCATAGGTCCGATGATGCCAAAAGTATATCGCAGGACTTCAGCTCCTGGCTGGTGTTTCGGGCCATACTACAGGTTTTTTTCTTCTTTATTTTCCCCCGGCTGTTCAGGACCACTTCACATAACCGTACCGGTCATTTCGCCCATTCCAAAACGTGAACTGAGGCCAAAGTAGAAAATACCACCCTGGGGGCTCGTTGGTGTCTTGGCAAAGGTACTATTATACATTGCAAATGCGCTTCGTGATGGTTAGTTCATCTGGCCCTTGGCAAATGGACCGGCTACTGAATGGTCACAGCGTCAATCGCATGCTACGAGGGTTATCTACGTCCTTATCCACCCAATAACCCGAACGAGCAGGATATTGGCAGATATTCTGTGACGTGATGCGGCTTTCCCGATGGGGGCGCAGAACCCGTATAAACGCGATACTGGTCTTCAGCAGCATGCGCGTCACAGGCAGATAGGGACGTCTGACAGATTTAATACGAGTCGTGTGTGTGGGCTTGAGGTCAGGCTGGGGTAATGCGTCTTGCAGCCAAAGAGGTGGGCAGCTTCTCAACCTCGCATCTGTCAATACGGGGTACATGAAAGCCATGTGTGAAAATAGAGGCTTTGGATGATGGGAAAATAGCTTCATCGTCGTTTTAACATCAGATCCACGTCAGTCCTCGTCAAGGGACGAGCCAATGGCACAGATGGTACGGATGGCTCGGATGAGATGGCAGATGCTGATATCCGTTACTCCGCCTAGCTCGTGAAGAAGCTTTCAGCCTCTGGTTCAAGTTGCAACATGATGGCTGGCATTTATCGGCCGCGCAAACCCATGATTGTTGGTACGCGGCCACACAAGAACAAATGCTGTTGCACTGGACCCAGCCTAGACCTCAGTCCTGTGTACTAGTATTTCGACGGGACGGGATCTAGTTACTCGTGATGGATTATATGTCGCTGTTGGCGCAAGCTGGCTGCATCCGTCCGTAATCCACTTGCAAAGATACGGAGCGCGGAGCAGTCATACCCACTGTTTCCGTCACAGGGCCAGACGGTTAAAAACAAACCGCAGGACAAGATGACGTCTGTTTGATCCAGGTGTCGGATCTTTGTTACCCCGGATGACCGGGATCCAGCCACAATACAGCGGACACATACAGCCACAGTCACCCATACACCAACCACAGCAGCATGAACGTTGTGGGCTGGCATCGCACGTGTCTCTCTGTCTAGTCCGGTCAACTGATCGGAACTGGACCATCAGGTTCCGAGCTTCGGGGCACTCGAGAGTTGACGGCTTAGAGCGCCGTCGGCTGCCCCATTACGGAAGCCACAGGGCGCACCCTCCAGAGGCCCAGGTACCTGAATGTGCTGGTGGCAATGGCACCAGTGTATTCCCAGGCCTGCTGCTCTCAATGGCTCTCTGCCGAGGATCGGGCTCCAGTCATCCTGACGAGGTTCGGCAAAAATTCACCGCGTCCCGCCCGCCCTGTCGTCCCAGCCAACGGCCTTGGTGGAATCTCCGAATTTCGCGCGAGTGCCATCACAACCTGATGGGTAATCATCTCAGTCTGCAGATTTGAACTCGTGAGTGCTGTTGCGTCCCCATTGATAGTCATATTCTTCTTGCTTTTCTCCCCCGCAAGCCCAATTGCTGCAGAGCCAAGCAGCACTATCAAGACTGGCGGCCGCGGTTCCTTTGCGCCCCCCCCTTTGGATTTTGCTTTGCTGTGGCTCTTTCCCCCCTTGTTGAATCACTCGCCGTCTAACATCACACAAATCAGGCCATCGCTGTTTGGTGGGGAACTCCAAACTACAGAACTTTAGATTGACCACGCACCATGGCTTCCAACACCAAGGACTCGTTGCTGTCGCGCCACTACATCGACTATGTCTATGTCCCGGCCGTCCTTCTCGTCGCGGGGACCCTGATTGTCAAGAGGGAATGGGTTCCGTACTCGGCTGCTCTGGCCCTGGTGCTGGGCGCCTACAACTTCTGGAACTTCCGTGAGTGGACATATGCATGCCTCCTCAACAAAAAGTCTCTGGTCAATGCGTGCGTGTGACTGACTCTCCCATCTGCAGAGATCAAGAAGGTTCTCAAGCCAGATGTCTTCCAGGAGTTTGAGCTTCAGGAGAAGACCGTCATCTCTCACAATGTCGCCATGTAAGCACCATCGTCTCGCCATTTTTGCTTCCCACCCCACTGGCCATATGGTCCTCATCAACAGTCCACGAAACTAACATCCATTGCTTCTCATCTTTGCAGCTACCGCTTCAAGCTCCCTTCGTCCAAGTCTATTCTCGGCCTACCCATCGGTCAGCACATCTCGATCGGCGCCCCTCTCAAGCAGCAAGATGGCACAACCAAGGAGATTGTGCGCTCATACACCCCAATCTCCGGCGACCACCAGCCCGGATACTTTGATCTCTTGATCAAGTCCTATCCCCAGGGTAATATCTCCAAGCACATGGCTTCCCTGGTGGTTGGCCAGGCCATTCGCGTCCGTGGGCCCAAGGGTGCCTTCGTCTACACACCCAACATGGTCCGCCACTTCGGCATGATTGCTGGCGGCACCGGAATCACCCCTATGCTCCAGATCATCCGTGCTATTATTCGTGGCCGCGCCGACGGCGACAAGACTCAGGTCGACCTGATCTTTGCCAACGTGACGCCCCAGGACATTCTCCTGAGAGAGGACCTTGACGCCCTGGTAAAGGAGGACAGCGGCATTCGCATCCACTACGTCCTGGACAACCCTCCTGAGGGCTGGACCGGTGGTGTCGGCTACGTCACCGGTGACATGATTACCGTGCGTATAATTTTGCTCCACGTGCATTCGGCATGCCGGCGCGTGTTACGCTCATGGTACTAACTAACTCTTCATCATTAGAAATGGCTCCCTAAGCCCGCCGACGACGTCAAGATTCTCCTCTGCGGTCCTCCCCCCATGGTTAGCGGCCTGAAGAAGACCACCGAGAGCCTGGGATACAAGAAGGCCCGTCCCGTCAGCAAGCTCGAGGACCAGGTCTTTGCTTTCTAAAGCAAGTCGCAAAGGCCTCCTGAGCAACTTGTTTTCAAATAAGAATCGCCCCTTTTATTTCTTATGCTTGATTCTTGCCTGCTCCTTTCTATTTCCAATACGATAGACTTGCTGTAGCTAGAACTGTTGTGAAATCTTTGAAACATCTATATCCCATGATGTAGAGTTAAGGGAAGGGGGTGGGGGAGTAGGGAGTTGAGGGAATCTGCAGTGCTTCCCAACTAGGGGTGCACTGCAATCGTGGCGGAGTGCTGGATGGCGGCGAGTACTTGTCCAAGAAGTGCTGTGTATCTATGTGGGATGTGGGAGAGCGTTACTACGATGCTAAAGTCATACATGAATTGAAACTTGGATTCAAGAGATTTGTGTCTCTTGCTTCTGTGTGCATTGCCGTATAGAGAAAAATCTACCTGGCACTACTGTACCATTTTTGTCCCAGAGATACTCCCCCTTTCTTCCCGTCAATGAATACAAAATCACATATTCTAATACACATGAACCTTTGCATGAATGAGGAAGATCCTATTCCTCCTCGTCGCTCTCCTCCACTATTCGCCCTCTTCTCGAACGCTTAGCCTGTCGAGCAGCGGTATCTTCGCCTTCGTCCTCAGCACCGCTACGAGCAGGCGCGTCATCCTCATCGACGTCCATCTTATCAGCTGCGAGATCGTCGTCGTCGTCTGACGCGGGCATTCCATCGCGCTCCATTTCCCTCTCCGCTCGTTCCAGGGCATCGTCATCATCTTCATGCTCGTCGTCGCTATCAACAACAATCTCTGCAGACTTGAATTTCGACGACTCCTTCTTCGTGAGACGCCTCCGTTTCTTGGTATGCGACTCCTCCTCTGAATCGTCCTCGTCACGGGCTGCCTTCTTCTTCTTGGGTGTCTTCTTGGGTCTCCCTTCACCGGTGCGCCCTGCCGCCTTGCTCTTCCTCTTCACCTTTTCACCCGTCTCCGCGTCAGTGGTCATTTCAAGTTCCTGCTTCTGGCGTTCCTCCTCGGCGCGTTGTTCGGCGAGGGCTCGATCTCGGATGGCGATGGCCTCTCGCTCCTTGCGGATCTTTTCTTGACGCTCTCGCTCCTTTTCGAGGATTTCTTGGCGTTGCTCCTCGCGGCGCTTGAGCTCAGCCTCACGTTGCTCCTTGGCAGCTTGGATCTTCTCTTTATTCTTCTCCTCCCATTCCTTTTGTTTTGCAATGGCTCGTTCGAGCTGCTTCCGGAGTGTGTTGCGGGCCATGTTGGCACGTTGTTCAATGTCGTGTTTGGGGTAGGGAGTTTGAGGGAGTGTGGCAATTGCGTCTAGTGATTCGATGGCAGACTCGAGACCCGCGGCAGCTGTCTCAAGTTGCTCGGCAGTTCTTCTGTTCTCGGGCAAGTTTTGAATCGTAGTGACGAGTTGGATTTGCACAAAAGCTACGTTGAACTTGTAGTGCACTTGGTCCGGTGCAACCTCGAGAGCCTAGATTGAATGCCATTAGTGGAAGAGCTAAGATTGCGTTTGTTGATGTTTTTTCTGCTTACCTGTTGCGCGCACTCGAGGGCCTTGCCGTAGGCGTCAATGTCCCTCTCTGAGCGGCCTCTGTTCAGCCATGTACGACCTAGACATGACAAAATGACCGGATCGTTGGCTTTTCCGTCCTTAGTGAGAGCAATTTCGTAATTCTCAATTGCTTTAGAGTATTGTCTCAGTTCCGCAAAGACATGGCCCAGATTGACATACACGTGAGGCTCTCTCACTGTCTCTCGAACCTTATTGAAGATTGTGAGAGCGCTCTTGTAGTCCTTTTTGTCTTCCACCAAAGCAATGGCAACACCCTGAGCAGCATAGGCGTTCTTAGGGTCTAGTGAGAGCGCCTTCTCAAAGAACTCTACGGCCTTGCCATAAATAACACTTCGCTTCTGCTTATCAGACTCCGTCTCACGCCGCATTTCTCTGGCTTGCAGTAAATACAGGTTACCCATGCCAATGAGAGCATACCGGTCATGCTTGTCGTAGTTCTGCAAGGTGTGCTTGTAATGGCGGAATTCAGGGTCTTCCACGATGTTGGCTGGTCGTTTTCTGGAGTGCACCTTGCCGAGGTACCAACCGTACAGAGCTCGAACTTCTAAGTCACTAGTGTTCTCCTGGTACAACTTGGCGACTGCATCTGGGCCTTCCTTATTAGGGTTCTTTCGCAGTTTGATATACGCCAATCTGGTGCGAGCATCCGTGTAATCATCGTGGCGGGCCAGCAGGCCTTCGTAAACCTCCATTGCCTTATCCGTTAATCCCCTAGACTCGTAGCTTCTGCCGAGGTTGAAGCTGATGCTCGAAACCAATGCGTCCGTATCCATACCGGGTTCCTTTTCGCCAATTCTCATACATGCACTTAGGGCGGCTTCAAACATCTCGCTAGCCAGCTCGTGCTTCTCAGCTTGAGAATGAAAGCAGCCAATGTTGTTAAGAAGCTGGGGTGGAAGGAACTTTCTCATTTCCACTTGTGCCGCTGCTTCATTCTCTGCATCTGTAGGTCGCTCTGATTTTGGTATCTGGTCTAATTCAAGCTGCTCGACCTGCTGGAGACACTGCAGCGCCTTCTCGGGTTGATCCAGTTCGTATAACCGCGCCAGGTTCAATAACACGGAGGCATCCGGGGCAATCGTCCGCTTGGGGTCCTTCCAGGCATTCCGAACACTCTCTAGGAGTGTGATGGCCTTCTTCATCTCAGCAGACTTGTCTTCTTTGCTATCACTCTTCTGACCTGCAAAGATTTCTTCAGCGTAAAGTGTTCCCAGCAAGATCATCGCTTCGTGGTTCTTCGATTGCTGAATCATCTTCTCCAGACGAAGCTTGGCTTCCCCGAGATCGTTCTTCAGGACAGACAATTGAGCAACACCAAACTTGGCTGGTAGGTACCCTGTGTCCGCACCTCCGCGTGCATCATCGGCACGACGGTAATAGTCGCTAGCTTTTTCCGCATCGTCATTGTAATGGGCTTTTCTGGCGAGCAGGTACCAACCATCACTGGCAATGGCGTTGACATCCGTGTACTGGATGGCCTTGTGCGCCAATTTGTCTGCATTCTCCCATGCCTTTCTTGACAGAAAGTATCCAGCAAAGGTAGAACAAGTGATAGGGACCTCCTTATCCAACTTGAATGACTTCTGCGTATACTCCGTCATTGCTTTTCTGTATAGTTTTAAGAAATCATCGCTGTTAACTGGCACATGACCGCTGGCGTCGAGGTAGAAGAGACCGAGCAAGATGTTGGCAATTTTAGAATCGGGATTGATTTCTAAGCTTCGCTCCCATGCCACCTTGGCGTCCTCCTTGAATCCCAGTTGCCAGAAGCAGCACCCAATGCCGATTCGGGGATCAGGGTCTACCAAATCAGGCATCTTGTGAAGAACATCCTGGTATGTTGCCAAAGCATCGGGATACTTGTGCATAGAGAAGTAGGCTCTTGCCTTGCCCATGAGAGCAAGCATATTCTTGCCTTGGGATACTCGAAGCGCATCATCAAAAGATTTGACTGCCGTCTTCAGCAATTCATTCTTCTCAGACCCGATTCCTCCGGCCGTCTTTGAGGGGGCCTGCAACGATGCTCGCAAGAGCAATAGGACGCCACGGGCAAGGAAAATGGGCGGAAACGAGGGGTTCAGTCGGGCAGCGTCGTTCAGTGATGAAGTGGCCAGCTGGAGATAATATTCTTTCGTCTTCGCTTCGGAAACTCGCACCCCGTCTGGCGCAACACGTGGTGCTTCGCGACTCTTCCATAGATACATCCAGCACAAGCAGCAAATCATGCTGACCTTATCGCGTGGGTTGCTGCTTTGGATGGCGCCGCTGCCACGGATAAGCATTTCAATGGCATGGTCAATCTTTTTCTGCTTTGCATACGCGAGCGCAACCGTCATCCAGTAGGTTTTAGCGGCTCTTTCGTTCTCGAATAGGGTGCAAAGTTCGGTAGGGTCGTCCAAGAGGTCTTCGAGATCAATTTCGACAGCTTCATCTTCCTGATCTCCTTGAACTGGAATATCGATTGCGGAAGGGATGTCAGAAAATCGAGTGCTGACAGGCCTAACCAGTTGATCGCCGTTTGTCACGCCATTCGCCGTTCCATTGGCCATGGCTGCCATCTTGGCTAGGGTCGCTGAAGATATCCGATGAGAGGACGAGGATGGGAGGGAGGAAGTAGGCACAAACGCGTCCCCGGCCAGCTAGTTGCGCGTCTCGGCAGAATGAGATGCGCAGACCATCAGTCACCTTAGTAGTCAGAAATCATAGCCAGAAAACTCCGATACTGAATGCCAATAGCTGGCGACAAGAAAGAAATGACCTCGCGAGATAGGTTGTCTGTCACTTGGCTGGCTGGAGGAGATGAGAATGGCAATCCGCACAAAGAAGTGGCGCTCAAAAAAAATGTGGCCCGTGCACGACCACCCCAGTCAGATAAATGCGGTTCGCAACTTGACCCTGTGGACTATTGCTGTATTTTCAATGTTGAGAACTGAGGCATGGGAGAGACTGGCAAGGTTACCATATGATTGTGGCCGGTATAACTGTCCCCCGATGGCTGTCGAGTGTCCAGTCTCAAGTCCCCGTGATGGTCTCCGACCTCTCGGTTCATCTTCCATTAGCAAGGCGTCCCATCACAGCGCTCACCTTGGTTGAGGCAATGGAAGCCGAAGAGCCGGCTGATGAGCTCGAAGATATTTATTTAGTCAGTTGTATTTCTGCCTGACGTTATCCTTATTCATGCGCATCAACAGTCTCCCAGTCGTGGGGTGGGGGGTTCTGGTAGAGCCGCTGACAAGGCAGAAAAGATGGCAAGCGCAGCAGACAGTCATCGTTGCAATGCAGAATATCAAGTTGGAGCATACGGGTTGTTCAAAAATCGAAGTATTATGCCTAGCTCCTCCAACGCTTTGTAACACCAGTCTCTCACGTACTGTTGTCTTCTTTTCACCCAGTTTGAGGGCCAGGTGATGCTTTATTAATGCGAAGGTGAACAGGAT